AAATACTCATTGAGACTGTAATATTTAGCAGCTATCTAAAGATGAACAGGGAACAAGCCATATGGAGACCTGGAGAATGAGCACTTGAGGCAGAGGAAATAGCAAACAGGAAGCTGGATAGTGGGAAATGAATATGTATTATGTTTGTTCTAATTTTATTGTACTTTTGTGTGAATAATTATAGTAATATATTGTTAAATTGAGTCTGGCTCCAAACTTCTGCATAATAAGGCTGATGAGAGGGCAGTGGCAGTCATTACTGCCAGCCACCATGACTGTCCGTCCCCCTTCCTGGACTAGTAGTGTCCCTGTGCCCGGGAAAGGGGCTCATTCCATCATGGTCATGGCTGTGTTATGCACATCTTGGTCGACTTTCTAATGCCTACATTTAGAGAAAAGACACATGAATGGGAATAAGGTAACTCACTCTCAGAAAGAGCCACTTGATACTTAGATCCACCTACAAAAGAGGCAGGTTGCCTTGCAAAGGCAACCTCCCCAACCCAGGAGTTTAAAGCAGTGACTTGGTGACCAACCATCAAGAATGTGCTATAGAGAGAGGGGCTTCTCCAACTTTAATGTGAGTAGACAGGACCTGGATATTTTTCTGTGATGACCCATTTTGTGAAGGTATAAATGTGGATTTGGTAGGTCTGGGATGGAGCCTGGGATCCATATCTGAAGAGCTTCCAGATGACTCTAATGTTGTATGTCCTTGCACCACAGCTGCTATGGGGATCCTAGAGTGGATAGAGAGTTCAACCAGATGAGTAGTTTCCAGACCTGCCTGCATGTAAGACTCACCTAGAAGATTTATTAGAAATGAAGAGTATGCATAGCCAGAGATTGGAAATCTATAGCTCTGAACTGGACCTGCAAACCTGTATTTTGAACAAGTTTTGCCTGATTCACATGTGACCTTTGTGAGTCATTGAGCCAGAGGCTTCTTGGATTTATTTTAAACTGTAAGTCTCCTCAAGAATCTGTTGAAAACAAATTAAAATGGGGCACAGCCTGGCTAACAATGATCCTCCCACTCTTTTTACATGGTAGATTACATAGGGTCTTAACAGTTATTTGCTTTTTAGGAGTCCTAGATTTACATTCATTCCCTTTCCTGAGAATTTATTTTTAAATAGCTCAATGACTGATTTCTTGAGCATCACCAACCCATGATGATATATTAACAAAAGGAACTTCTTCGTTGGGTGGTAGCAAGGAAATCCAGGTTTGCATGACACACCAAAAAGATTCCACTCAGGAGTGGTCCAATTTGAGGTTGTTAGAACCATGCTACCTTGCTCCAGATGCAGCTGTGACCTGAGAATTGAAGATCCTTCATCTTCAATTTTCTTTCATTTTGTAGAATTTATAAATTCCAGTGGTTGGAGCCACAGACAGTTTTGAGAAATTCGTTTTTTTACCTGTTCACCGTCAGCACTCTGTCTTGTAACACAGACCGTGAAAGGATGCATAGAGATGAGCAGGAGGCCTAGTTCTGGGCCTTCCAGCCCACTGCAGGGTGAGTAGAAGGGCCAGCTGGATTGGTAGCATGTAAAATCCAGGTCGGATGGATAGGGATGAGCTGAGGTGGTAGCCTGGAAGGAAGCAGCGTTGGAGGCGAGGTCTGAGCTATGCCCTGGCAAGACTTCTGGCAGGAAGCAGAGGCCTGGGAGAAGCCAAAGGACAGGTGCATAGGCTCTGTATCTGGCGATCTGACCACACTCCCATCAGTGTGGACCAGGTGCCCGTCCGCCCAGTGTCCCCTGGCGCACAGAGTGCTCATCAGTGGAAGCCCATGAGTCCTTCCTGCGTGACAGTCTCCTTTCCCTCCTCCACTGTCCTCAAGCCACTTCTCTGTCACCCTCACATCAGCCCCTCTCCTTGCTGCGGGCAACCTCCTCCACCTTTGATTATGCTAGGCACCTGCTAGATGTCCTTAGATCTTAGGTGCCCTTATTTTCTAGCATTTTATAGTTTGCAGGTACACAGTTAAAAGTGTGATTTAAAAAAAATTTTTACAACCAACTCTAAATGCAAAAACTGTGTCTATTCTGAGTCCTACGACATTCCCAGAAACTAAGTGCCTAGTGGCAGACACTTGCCCAATACATGAACAATTGTCTTTTTATGTCTTTCTGCCACACTAACCAGTAAGATTCCTGAGAGGATGAATCAGGCTCAGGCAGCCTGAAGAATTGCTCACCAGTAATGGTTTGAATTGTACTGGGCTGTCTCAAATGACCAGGAGGAATATGCCCAGGGTTCTGGGCTGGGATCAGAGGGAAATTCTCCAGTTTAGACAGGGGACACTGTCAGTGAGGTCACCAATGGAGGGGACCCAGCTACTTAGGTTAAGGTGGGCCTCTTAATCTCTGCAGCCAGAGGTCTTTTCCAGCCCTGTCCTACATTTCCCTGCCAAAGCAGAGAATGCATCTGACACCTTTTTCATTGAAGCAAACTTATCAACATTCATAATTTGTAAGCTAATTGGGAAGAAAGAGAAATAGAAAAAAAAATTCAGGAAACATAATACTATGTACTCATGGATTTCCAAGCAGGAAGTAAGACGGTGAGATGGGACACTGATGGGAAACGGAGGGTGACTTTGACCAAAAAAGGATTTTCATTTGATGAAGACAGGAAAGACAGCATTCTGCTCACCCCACCGGGTGGGTCTTGGGAATTCCCTCCACCCACTCCATCAGGGTGATTCTTGAGAAGTCCCTTTGCCTGCCTGGCCTGTATGGTTTGGGTGGGATCCTGACAAGACTTGGTCCTTCAGTCCCAACATGTTGTGACAAATTGGAAAATTGCATTGATAAATCCAACACTCCTCTGAAAGTGTGTTTTGCCACTCAACATCAAAACTTAATGTTATGCCAAACCTAGAAATGACCTTACAACTGATGAAATATCCCACTAAAAAATATTTAGAGAATAAAATGGAGTCTCTTCCTACCTGCTGAGGAAGATGCAAATATCTCAGTTATTATTTTGTTTCCTCTACAAACCCCTGCTCACTCTGAAGGGGCTTGTTAGCAAGTATTTTTACCACCAGGGCACAATTAAGATAAATTTTATAACCCCATGTCCCTCAGGAGACAGGATGGCTTATGCCAGCTCACCTGGGTTCTTCCCTCTTCTGGAGGAGAACAAGTGGATGCATCCCCCAAAGAGCATACATTGGCATATGGAACCATGCTTGGGGTTCTAGGGAGCCAATAAGAGGAAATGCGCTTTAGCCAGGAAAGGAAAAAAGAACAAACCCATCCAACTGTGCATCACAGCCAAGGCAGTGGAAGAGGGGTGAAAACAGACCCTGAAGAAGGAACTGGCAATTCTCCAAGGAAGATGGCACCTGCAATGGTGAGGATGGCTGGGAAGCCATCGCCCAGAGTGAGAGCTATAACCACCTGATGCCATCAGACCTGTCACTTTGTCACTGACCATGAGTGTCCCTTTAAGTGTGTGTGTGTGTGTGTGTGTGTGTGTGTGCCATGTACCAGTGAGAAAATTCCTTGGGTACTCTCTGCTGCTATTACTAAACTATTTTTGGAATCTCTGCACTGATAGGTGAGAAACTGTTGGTCTTTTAGCTATCTGCCCATTATAAAAAAGTCAAACATAGGAGACACTACATCAGGTCATAATATGATCAAAACCCAGGAACAGCAGGACTTGCATTTTGCTGTTACATGCACCCTGGGGCTCACTGTATATTACACACTAGAGGCAGCATTACCCAGCAGGGTCTTCCAGGTGGAAATTCTACCTTGAAACAATTCAGAACCAAGTCAAGTTCCATGAGATTTGGATCTTGGTGAGAGGCTTAAGAAGCAAGCACCAAAGTGTAGGGAATGACTAGACAGAGAAAAACAATGCTTGGCTGGGGAACAAAAGTGTCTTCCAAAGGAAACAAGAAGAACCTGAAGTCCCTCGCTCACCTTTCCTGGATAGCTGCCTTCTGAGAGACAACCCGTCACTTTGCCTGGATTCATCATAAGAAAAGCAGCATTTAAGTACATTTCATCTGCCGGAGAAAAGGCATATCACTTTTTGGAAGGTAAATCCAGGGTTGGGGTGGTTTTTGGTTCATGAATTTCAGAGAGTCCCACAGAGTATTTTCAACCCAAAGTATAATTTTATATAAAGGATTATGTGCTTATTGTCTGAATGAATTTCACATTTGTGAAACAGTTTTCTCTGTTTCCTTCTTGTGTGCATCTAATGAACTTGAATTGTCAAAGTCCTTGAGGTGAGGATAGTATATGACATTATATTTGGGCTTTAGCTCAATAATTTTCCATTAATAATTAATGGGAAATACTTTTTAATGCATCAACCTACACAAGGCACAAAGTCATAGAGTCCTAGGAATCATCTAAAACAACCATTGATTTTAAAACTAAGGAATATGGGGCACCAGAAGGTGTGACTTGCCCTGCAGTGACAAAGGAGGGTCTCCATCCAGCACCCCGACAAGTCCAGGACTCTAGACATCACTCTGGTAGCAAAAAAGGGCAGTACTGAGACATTTTGATCCCCCCAAAATGTTAATGTTTTGGAAGCACCTTAAATCCAAAAGATGAATCCTCTGGCTTCCAAATGGATTAGATGAAACACCAGAAAAGAAGCACAGTGCAGTGCGTGATGAACGGGAGGGAGACATTTAATAGTTTGAGAGCTATTTGGATCCCCCTGGGGCCTAACAGAGACAAGTGCGGGGATGGCAGTTTGGACTGAGCAGGACTGTGCACTTAACCTGGAAAACAGGAGGAAGAGGCCTGGCTTCATCCAGTCAGGGATGCTGCATCAACCAATCCTCGCCATTCTGTCGTTTCCCGCGTTTACCTGCCTGATGTCATAGGGTGTTTCCTGCTGAACCTGAGTGTCTCCTCCAAGCCACATCAGCCCCCTCAAGGTCTTTCCTTGTGCACCTTTCCCAGAAATACAGTCTTGGCAGCAGGCACCAAGGCACCTCCAAGCAGAGCGAGTCCCTGGCTGCTACCACGCAGAAGGCCGAGGCACTTGGCAGGTAAGACACCAACTTCCCTTCATCTTTCCTGGTTTATACAGCATGCATGATGACATTTCCTAAAGGCTTCTCGGAAAGTTTATATGTGGTTTGGACTTATCTTCACTGGGCATTTTTCGGTGCCAGATTCGGCTGCCACGATGGCAGTTCCCCTCATTAGTGTGAGGGAGACTGGGGCTGGGAGCATTCTCCACATCTGAAAAATGAGCCACAGAATTGTCGAGTCGGAGGACTAGCAATTATTTTCTCATCAGTCTGCTTAGCAGCCCAAGCCTAAGAGCCATCACAGAGAATTGGGGGGTATCGTAACAGAATGAAGCACCATATAGTGCTGAGATTCAGGGGATGCCTATGACCGCTCCTCAGAAACAACTTGTTGCAGTGTTTTAAGGGGTCCCCTATGCAAGGGCACTAAGCTCTTCACCTTGCTTCCACCATCTTAGACCTACTATCTACAGCAGATCTGAATACCTGGTTGGCCCTGAATGTCTAGTTTCAGTTGCCTCTAAAGGCTTGTTGGCACCTGGCTGATAATCAGCTGTACAGGTTGCAGCAAAATTAGATTAGCTTCACTTGGGAGAGCTGAGTGGCTGAATCATACTGATCGTTCTGTTATTGGGTATCCCAAGCCCTGGAATTTAGCGGAAGATCGCTTCTGTAGTAAAAGGCTTGATAAGAGCTAAATCCCACTGCTCCACCCCATTCTCCTCTTAATACTAGAACTACTGAAAAAATCAAATTGAACATTCTTGGGGTGATTGGGTGTTTCCCGATGATCAGCTCACCACCAGCAACAGACTCCCTGCCACTCTGCAAAAGATCCTCACTGCTTCCTTCCCTCTCAGCCCTTCCTAAAGCCTCCTTGGTGATTTCTCAGCAAGCCTGAGAGCCTGGTACTCTGGCACTCAGTGTGGTCTGCAGATCAGAAGCACTGGCATCACCTGGGAGTTTGTTGGAAATGCAGACTCATGGGTCCCTTTTCAGAATCTGCATTTGACACAGTTTTCAGGCGATGAGGGGTGCTCTGATGTGTGAGAAACCTGCTAAGTGACCACCAGCACTCTCTCCCTCCGGGCCTCCAGATGCTGAACTTGTATGCTCTAGGAGTTGCATTCGTTCAGTGTGTATTCAGCGTCTACCATGAACCAACCATAGGTTTGGGCACTGGACAAACGGGAAGAAATAAAACAGAGCCCTTGAGAAAATCGTGACCTGATGGGAGGAAACAAGCATGAAATCGTGATACATCAGTAAGGTCTGTGGTAGTACAGAAAAAGGGATGTTCCGTTTTATCTGGAGAAATCTGGTAACTTCCCAGAGGAGGTTGCAGCTGTTCTGGGTTTTGAAGACTGAATAGGAGTCTGTCAAGTAGAAAGGGCACCGCATGGGAAAGGCGTGAACAGAAGCATGGGGTTGGGGGCCAGCCTGACATTTGGGGAGCCGAGGCTGTGCCTCTGCCTCTATTTAGTTTCTTCTCCAGGAAGGCTCCAGATTTCACTGCAAACTGAAGAGCTTGGAAAAGGGTTTTGGCACTGAGCACGACGATAAGGATGTGGGTGATTATCTAAACATCACAGAGGCCCCTTGTCAGCCTCTGACACTCTGATGGCCCTTGTCTGTTTTGTGCTTCTGCTACAGAACTTGCCTCCCTAATCACACCCCTTTACCAGCGGCACAGCCTCATGTTGGCTTGGATCTGCCCCTGCCCCTCATTCTTCCTGCACACTGACTGGGTAGTTGGCTGAGGCATGGAGCGCAACTTAGTTTGGTCTCGAGTCCCCTTTTACCTGCCATCCCACTTCCTGTGAAGGGGATTCTGAGGAAAGGAGCGTAGAAATGAGTACTTTTTTCTTGTTCAGATTTTCCAACTCTCCTGTATTTGACTATATTTTCTTTCTCAGTCTTTCTTAGATGATGCCTCTTTTTCTATAGACTAAACTTTTCATTTTTTTATTATTATGAAACACAGTAGTCATTAAAAGAACAGTATAAGGGATATCTGTGTCCCCACAAGGTCCTCTGTAAAAATCACTGATTTAGTTTCCAGGGGATGGGAGCATGGGAAATGGGAAGTTGGTGGTTAGTGGGTACAAAGTTTCCATTTTGCAAGATGGAAAGGTTCCGAGTTCTGTTCATATGGTTGGGCAACCATACGAATATAGTTATCAATACTTCACTGCAATGGCTACAAATGGCTGAGATAGTAAATTTTGTGCTGTGTTTTAACCACAGTTTAAAAAAAATATTAATGACACTTTTTGCTCCAGACCCATTATCTTTGTTTGCCTGAAAGGCCAGGTTTCTGCTAGCTCAATGGTTTTCCTGAGTCCTAAAAAAAAGGGGAGTGAGGAGGAGGAGAGCAGTGTGCCTCTACTTGGGGCCACTGAGGTGTGAGGGCAGAGTCTACTGAGGTGGCAAGCCACTTGAGAACTTCTCTTGGAGGGAGGGTGGGAGTACAATGGGCCAAGGAAAATCTTGGACGAAAAGGTATTGGTTCATGCCTTGCCTTTTGTTTGAGAGTTAGTTTACAAAAAGTACATTCAACAAGGTAAAAATTATTAGGAGGATTATAAAAAGGCCGAGAGAACGATTGGGGTACACGAAGGAGGCTCCACTTACCTGACCCAGACGCACAGTTGTCTTCTGGTCCGGTCTTGCCCAAGGGTGTCTGGAACTGTGCTCGGAGGGCTCTCAGCCAAGCTCCAGTCCCGCGACTCCTGTCGAGGTTGTTCTCCTGGTATATGTCTGAGCTTCAACCAGTGACAACCCGTGTCTTCTTGGGAAAGCCATCCTTCTGTCTACACCACCTCCGTGGTCAGGAGCTATACAAAGTATTCTGGATTTACTTCACCAAACCTGAGGAGTGCTCTAAGCCCAAAGTCTCTCATGGCGGGGAGGAAGAAACTGTCAGGGCAAGTCAGACCTGCGACAGACACTGGCATCCCATGATCCACCTTCACTTGGTAGGCCAGGGCCAGAGGTAAGAAATAACTGGTACTATGTCAAACGCTGGCTAGAGCTAATGCAGCGCTACCCCCAACCCCAAAGCAGAGTTCTTTCCCTTCCATCAGTGCCTCTCTCCATGTCTCCTAGCAATGGCCTGCATGATAGACGCAGAACTAGTTATGTGGTTTCCCTCCTCTGTTCCAAATTAAGGGCATTTAGTGTTCCCTGGGCTTTCTCTTGTTTGCCATCCCCTTTTTTGTGATTCTACCCTCCCCATCCCCCAAAGAGCTCTGGAAGACTCAAAGCATGATCCCGGATCTCGTTTCAGTGATGAGGGTCCGTCTCCATCTCCCAGTCCTCCTAGCTTCCCTGGCCTTGCTCCAGGGCACAGCACCTGCCACAAGTGGTAAGTGTTTCTCTGCATTGCTTTCCTGGGGCTTCTGTGATAAGGGGATGCACACTGGGCGAGCAGCTAAAGACAATGTCTAGGAGACTAAAACCCAAAATCAAGGTGTAGGCGGGTCGAGCTCTTCTGAGCTCTCTAGAGGAAACACCTCCCTCGCTCTTTTCAGCTTCGGCAGCCCCATCAATCCTTGGTGTCCTTGGCTTATGGCTGCATCATCCAATCTCTGACTCCCTCTCCAAAGGGGCTTCGCTCTGTGTGTCCTCTAGCATCTCTCTTGTTATAAGATAACCAATCACTGGATTCAAAGCCTACCCTAAACCAGTATGAACGCATCTTAATTACATCTGCAAAGACCCTATTTCTAAATAAGGTCACCTGTAGAGGTTCTAGTTGAACATGTATCTTGGAGGGACCCAAACCCACTATATTCCCCTTGTCCAAGGAATGCATCCTTCCCCCCTTCCCAAGCTCCAGACCTCAGCATGACTGCAAATAAGGAATCCTACCTCTACACAATGTCACCCCCTTTGCTACTCCAGGGTCATGATGACCAGCTCACCCCTCTGACAGACATGTATAAAGGTCCAGCTCACCAAGAAGCAAAAAAATCACCAGAGCTCAGTACCCCAAACCAACCAGAGTGGTAACACTCTTCCTTTACCCCATCACTGGGTATTCTCAAGCATTCCTAAAGATTAATCTTGATGTTTCTATTGAGAACAAAGCGTATTCTTCATTTTGTGCTTCTTCTCCTGAGTATTCTTGAGAAAGTTTCCTGGTCTCGACCTTCTGGCTGCTCAGATGTAAGGGGTGGGTGGTGAAAGAGGGAGACAGTCACAGCGGGCAAGCTGGGGAATGGGGTATGACAGCCTGTTCCCTGCTCCTCCCCTCTAAGCACGGGCCACCAGGACGGCCATCATCGCTGATGCTGTGAGTCACGTCAAGGTCCAGGTCAACAAGGCCTTCCTGGATTCCCGAACCAGGTATGCAAGATGAACTCATAGCACCCATCCCCCGCAGCCTCCGTGTTAATGACGACCACATGTAGGCCAGCCCTGGCTGACCAATACAATGCAATGATCCAAGCTGCACTTCCACTACCCCACCCTCCTCCTCCAAGTACGGGGGGCATGTAGGGATAGTAACCCACACTACTAAATGCCTCTGCCTATAAATCACCTTGGTGAGAATGTCCAGTCAATCTCATAAGCACTCTCTTGCATGTGGCCAGACATTTCCTTGGGTAATACATTCCTGAGTGTCAGAAAGCCTGTAGGTGGAAGTTTTCCACCTGGATGCACATTCAAGCAGCACTGCATAGATCTGGGGTGAAAATGCAAGGCAGGAGAGCTAAAAAGAGGCTGCGAAGTGGGCCCTCCCTGGTGGCGCAGCGGGTTAAAGCACAGCACTAAAAAGCTTAAGCCACTTCTGCATGAGTTCGATCCCCACCCGCCCCTGAGGTGACCACATGGCGTGGCAGACCTCTCCTGACCCGCCCGCTGCTCCCCTCAGCAGTACACTTTGTCAATCTGACTGTTCTGCTCCCCACTCTGTCTCTGGTGAATCCTCTCACCCTCCGCATCTCTGGCCTGTACCCCAGTTCTGTATGAACAAATAAATAAAT